TTCGATGACACTTTGAATACGCAACGAAACGAACTCGAAAGTTTTTCCTACTAGAGGTACAGACTATACATTATATGTACACAAAATATGCTGTATTAGAATGAGATTGTAAAAAGTAAGTTCAGAGGTGGAATTGTGTAAAGCAATCGTAATGATTTGACAGTTCATAACGTATAGATGACCCACGCTGAACTGTCCCGCCAAACTCAATGACAGGGGGGCGCTACCATCGTTAAACTATATGGTTTCCAACATGGCAAAAATCTGAACCAGCGATCCGGTATTGACGGTGGCGCCCCACTGTCAATGTCATCGACAGGACAGTCCAGTATTTTGGAACTTTACGATAAAGTTAGACAAAGCGTTTGACAGAATAATCGTACGTTATGAACTGTCAAATGATAACGATTGCTTTACACAATTGAGAATGTTACTAGGTATGCAAAATCACTTGAAACCTATGTTACAGTTAAGCTTTTACATTTACAAATACATTAGTTTTTATTTCATTCAAAAATACCCAGTAGTTATGATTTTATAGGCATTCAAAGTTCGCTTAAATATTGAGTCCCGCCGACGGTCACGTGACCCCGTGTGACGTACATTCACAGCGTCCGCTCACTAGAAAACGGATATAAACATACTTAAATATTTTTTTTTTGTAAATACAAACTTATTATACATATTAACACCCAGACCCATCACAGAAATTAAAATTGAACCATACCCAAACTTGATGCGATTGTGTCGTTTTATAGCGAATTACCTTCCAGCTCCATCATTAGACCCCGATTTTACTATATAGAATTAAAATACTCATCAATACAAAACGAACGAGCCCAAACTCGATGCATTTAAGTCGTTTTATTATAGAGTTCCTATGGCCACCTTCCAGCTCCATCATCAGATCAGCTCCATGTCATCATAATATTGCATGGTCATCCAAATCACATGTGTTTGCGAAATTTCAGCTTAATCGGTTGCCTGGAGGGTGGGTCTTAATTCAGTTTGCAAGATTCCACCCATACAAATATGAGCCAGTCGTTGTAATATGACGTCACGCGCATAAAATGGCGGGCCGGCCGCCGCCCGCACTTTTAAAATTCAATATCTTGGAAACTAATTAACGTATCGAAATAATTATTTCACGTGTATTTTTTATTTTTAACAGAGAATACAGAAAGCTAAAAAACAAAATTAGTGAACATTCTTCATTCCACCTCTGATTCCGAACTTACTATGCCGAACTTACGAGTAGGTACCCTTATTTCCGAAAACTAAGATCAGCATAGTCTAATGGAATCCCATATGGCCTTGTCCCACATATTATCAACGATACATTATTTCTCGCCACAGCTATATAACTTGCTAACTAAAACAATGATTAGATATCTAAATTACAGCCAACCTCGTGATGGCGTTGTGATGGTGGTTCCTGCCTCCATTTCCTCTTCCGGTGTTGCTACAAACTATGTTTAGCTATTGCTTTATTGAAGAAAGTTTTCTTTAGTTCTTTTATTATCTACTATCTATTTATAAATTCTGCTGGCAGCTAGAAGTATTTTCTGTATATAAAAAATCTTTCCACTGTTTTATTTTAGAAGCTCTTTTTATTTTTGTTTTCCTTGACACTCTTAACCTTGAAATACTATCTTTTAAAGTTCTATTAAAAATGTGAAAGTTTGTGAGAGTTTGTTACTCTTTCACGCATAACTACTGAACGGAATTTTTAATAAATCTATTTAGGTGTAGAGATTAAGACCCAGGGAAAACATTTATAATAGTTTTTATAAAAATAAGCCGAGATAAAAGTCTTCCTATGACAGACCTAAATTAAAACAGGTGAAGCCGCGGGCCAAACCTATCTATCTCTAAATAAACTCATTAAACATCTAATGGCACTTTTTAGTCGAATGATGATCATAAAACGTTTTATAACGTCTTCATAGGTGTAGATTATAGCGGTTTCGTCGTAGGCGCCAGTTAATATCTTTATTCGTCTTTCATGACTTAAAGGCCTGTTAGCAATGGGAGCGGTTTACAGTCGTTTTATGGGCACTGTTCCAAAACACAAAAAGTCACTTAATAGAAGGTTCGCTCATTTGGACGATTAAAACTTGCGATTGACGTGAAAATTGTATCGCAACTAATTATTTAATGATCAGTTTTCAGCTTACGTCATAAAGCCTTGATATGCCTGTACGTCCACCTTCACAGGTTAATAATAGCTAGAGGTATAACGCTAGATTTTGATAATTTTAACCAAGGTTTATTTTGTTTTTTACATTTATTTTTATTTAACAATGCCAGTAACATGTAATGGAGGAAAGTTGAAGTAATAAGTCATTTAGTCGTAAAGTCCACAAAATTACTTAGGGTGGCAAAAATCTGTCAAACTCTATACAAAAAGCACCGGTCATCATCGTAGTTACCGTTAAAGTTAGGTGGTGCAACTCAGCCTAAGACTTTAACTTTATTTCTGATTAATGTTGTTGCGTAATGAAATTGAAACGTTTGGCTTCGGGATTAATTCAACAGTTCAGTGAAGCTAGACTTATTGAGGACAAGCCTTTAATACCGTTTCACAAAAATTATTATGAATAAATACTACATTTGCTTATCGCTCCGACGATGCAATTTATGAAAATTATGGTTCGCAACTCGCGCTGGAGATGCACGTGGAATAAAAATTTCAAGTTCTCTCGTTCTAGAAACTAGCTACTAAAGAACTGTATAGTAATTTGATTGATATTGTTACATTTCGTAGCATGTGCATATACGAGTATAGCGGGGGACCGGGGTGCATCCAGTATGGTCTTTAAAAATGATATAATAATAATATGTATGTATTATAAGGGAGTAGGTCTACTACATTTTTCTCCCTTATGACCAAGGGTTGGGCCGAGATATTCGTTTAACATAATGTTTAGGTGCCGATGCGCCAGTTTACGGAATGACCGTATCTCGCTAATAAATCACCGTCGTAAAACGCGGGCGTACGCAATTATGTGTGTAGCACCATATGCGTAATACGGTGCCTATTTTATATAGAATAAATAAACAAAAGTCTATCAATTTTTTTAGAGGATTTTCACTGCTTACATTTATGGTTAGTGAAGGAAAAGAAATTACTTATGGAATAGTTTCTTCTTAGTTGGGTAATACATTTGTGGCACAAAGCTGTGGTACCCATGTAGGTATATGCAAGATAAAAAAACGAATAGGAATGTATCAGAATATCCGCTAGACAGGCATATAGAGACTTAAGCTCTACTAACCGTATAGAACCACCCTATCCCTGACCCCTTGACGAAGTGTCCCGTGTATTCTTTATTTTTTCTTTCTATTCACTATTTTAAGCTAGTGTGCTGTAGGTGCATTCTACAGAACTGATGATGATGACAATCTTGTTGATAACGTCATCTATAGTAGCCATTAATGTTCCAAATTATCGCGTATAAATTATGTTAGATAACAGAAACACGCACACATGGTTGTAATAATAGCCAAGGGAATGGAGGGGTATGTTATGTAATATGTATCCGGGTTTATTTCTAATACAATTATGCAGAGTGATTTGGGGATCTGCAATAATTAAGTAAAATATATCGCTGCTTCGTTCGTTTCAGCCGAATGACGTCCACTCCTGAGCCCTCCTTGGTTAACTGGATAGAGTGCGATATGTACTGTGCTTTTTTCGAGTTAATATATCGATGCATACATATCGCACATAAAAACTAAGCACTCATTATTGAATTACCTCAATTTGTCTATAAAATGTATAAAGTCTTGTCTATTATACCTGAAGTTAAGATTGAAAAAAAAATGTGTCTACACATTAGGAGTGAAAACATATTTTATAAGTTTATGACCAACAGAAATTAGGTTACACGTTGCGTGATCTTCGATTCGGTGATTTACAAAAATACCAAAGACTGACTTCTTCGAATGTTACCTACATTTGTTTGTTCGGTTTATGGAAACAATCAGATGATAATGACTACTTTCAAGGAAAATTGTTTTCGAAGAAAGCCGAAAGAAAAGAACCAATTCAAATGAAGGCTGAATATGATTATATGGAATCTCTTGTCTTGTAAAGTTGAAACAAATATATTATGATAATGTGTTCGACGCTTTAAAGATATATTAAAAATCAATGAAATCCATTATTCGGCCTTATCCCAACCCAACCCCTGAAAGTCCTTCCCCGTCAATTGAATTATACGATTTGTTGTTTCAAGAAGGTTATGCGATAAATCAAATTATGGAAAATGAATGAACTTGGAAAGGAATATTAAACACGATTTCGATTCCCCGAATAAATCTTGGCCATATTTTCCGGTATCAACAACCACAAAGTCTAGCAAGATTGTCTTTAAAAATTCAAGTTCGTTTCAACTAAAACTTGTTCAGAAGAGACCTTCTGTTCTGAAAACAATAAAATTCAAGTTTTACATAATAATATTCATGAAAGACTTTACTTTTACCGCTGTCCTAAACTTTGGATTTCAACTCTTAGTTTTCAGTGATTTTGCGGTGTACAAAATCAATCTGTCTTTAAACACAGTTTCCTTTGTAGCAAGTTATTTTAAATTATAATAACATGAAGTAGGTATTTATAATAATATGTAGGGGTTAACAAAGGGATAAAACATTAGTAAACTTGCACCTAAATCAGGCGAAATCCCTTTTCACTGAATTATTGCAGTCAAAAGGTTTGACCGATTATGAGTTTTGTTTGTAACATACATGTGCCAGTATACGGAATAACCGTATCTCGCTTAATCACCGTCGTTGTATGAATTTATTTAGTAATTACATGCACATAATAACACTGTCCATAAGGCGGACTTAATTCCAGTCGGCATTCTCCTCCAGTCGATCTTAGGGACAAGCTGATAATATCGTAGGGGGTACAAAATTATAGACATAAACTATTTAGCTGAAATAAGATAATAATGATAACGATAAAAAATATGAATGTTTGATTTTTGTTTCAGCGCTTCAAATACCAGTCAAGACGACGACGCGGACTGGGTCGGCAACTCGTCCAGACTGGAATACACTGGAAACAATACCAGCAATGACACGTTTGGTGAGTTCAAAACAATTTTTAGGCTACTACCTACTTGTTTGGAAAGGTACCCATAATATTACGAGCTTTCTTTGTATAAAAATATGACATCTACCAATCTGTTGACCTTATAACTTTAGAGACACTGAAAAGTGTAGAATTTCGTACTATAAATGTATACCACGCATTACTGAAACTGAATGTTAAACTTGAGTGGGAAGTAGTTAGCTTTGATCTCACTAATAACAAACAGTATGAAACTAACTTAACATTAATTACTTTGTATTTATAGACTTATAACTTTGTTAGTTTGCTTTATACTAAGTATTTAGATTGCTTTTGTAGTGTCGCGTTTCCCAATATATTACAAACAGCTGACAAAAGCTGGCCAGATAAAGTGGTGGGTTGAATAGTAAAAAAGGACATCAAAGTACTTTAGCTTTTCACTTAAAAATTTATAGCCCCAAAGCTTTCCAACGTGTCGGCTTTGTAATAAATGTATTTACGAGCACCATTTAAATCTGCCGTTAATTCGATGTTTAATAGCGTATTTTATTGCTCGTTCAATACTCGAATTACTAGGTTGAAATGTAATGAATTACCAAATTAATATATGTTACTAGTTTTGTCAAATTCAACACTTAACTTCATTATTCCCCAAAGAAGAAGCCTTAATTTGATCAATTTAATTCACGGTAAATGGCTGAAATACAATGTTTTATTAAATTAAGTTAGTTTAGTCAACTGAAATAGTTTCTTAAGTACATTATTCCCTGAAGGCCTTAATTTGATAAATTAAATTCACGGTAAATGGCATTCTACCTCCGGTTCAGGGGGCTTAGTGTGAGTTTATATCAAACGTACTTATTCGATCGATATCGACTGTGTAAAAAAATTACATTAAATGTAGATAATACGGATTGTACAGCGTTCCTAGTAGATACTTTTAAGAACTAAATCTTCATAAACTTTTGACGCACTCGAAATACTTACTTATAATACGTTTGATATAAACTCACACTAAGCGCCCAGGTGGCGTCATTAAAACAAAAAAATCGTAATGGGAACATTATTTTATATTTAAATGTATTTATATTTATAATATTCCAGAAACGTAAAATCTATAGCCAAGAAATAATGATTAGGTTGAAAAACCCTAATGTTACAATTTTCAAAGATAATTTGACTTTCTTGGCTATATTTTCAGACTTTAATGATCATGGAAGTTTGATTACACGTTGAAATTGTATTTCAATGCTTTTGTATAACTAATTACATCGATTTACCCCCCAGTGAAAATAAACCCAAGAAAATTGTTTGAGGCAATCATTACTTATCGTCCTTTGTCCTTCGTTGGTAATGTATTTAAAACTTATTCATATTAATGGACAACTGAATTACGAGTAGGTACTTTCATTATAACGTGTGATGTTTTTTGGAAAAAGGCACCTAAATCTAGCACAAAACGAAATAGGAAAAATACATACATTCAAAACTGTGAAAAATACAAACGATTTAACAAATTGAAAAACTTTTAATGTTACCAACCTCTCGAACTATCTTTTCACTATCGACTTTTGTTTCAGACTCGCTGTACGACGTTCCTACGAGCATGATAGTGCTACTATCGTTCCTATACGGCTCGATATCTGTGCTCGCTGTGGTCGGCAACTTTCTGGTCATGTGGATAGTGGCCACTTCCCGCCGCATGCAGAGCGTCACCAACTGCTACATTTCCAATTTAGCTTTAGCTGACATAGTCATAGGATTATTCGCTGTACCATTCCAGGTAAATGTTTTTATTAACTTTTGATTAGTTTAAAAAATTAGTAGTCTTAACAATACTATCGTTAACTCCTCAATGTTAGCTAAATACCTACTAGTAAAAAGCTTTTGGATTGGAGTTTTGAGGAGTGCGTTCACCACATTGGTTCGGCGTTCAATGGGGATCAATAGCGAACCTACTCTCAAATTGGAAATCCTTTGGATATTAGTCATAGTCATAAATGTTTATTGCATTATGTTGGTACATAGATTAGTTAATATGAATGTGTCTCGATGAATCGTACTGTGTTAGTAGAGTAGGTAGCTGAAAATGATTTATTACGCACAACATTATCTAATATCTCTTATCTTGTTATTTGTACGTTACCTACTTATTATACAATTCAGTTCTGCTGACAAAATAAGTACTTTTGATGTGTACAAATATGAACTAAAGTAAATATTTTCATTCGAAGTTATTCAGAAAAGAATTGCTTGTCCTTGCTTTTCTGATCTGAAATACAAAACTAGCGTGAAAATTTTCCTATTTGGCTGCATTCCCAATTATAGCCGTAGCTCCAAGAGTGTAGCCCACAAGCCAAAATCTATAAAACCACTTACATTAACACACAAAAATATAGCGTAATATTGTGGCTTATCCTAGAGGCAAGCGCATACTTATTCGTTTTGACAATTTCATATTTCAGAATAATATTTCTATTTTGAGAAAAACTTTCTGTTTTACCAGAATGTATGAGTTTGGTTTAAAACTGAATTAGGTACATGAATTTAGGCGAATCTGATTAAACCCAGTGCACATACAAAGAACAAACAACTAAGTCCAACATACGATAACGGGTTTGTTTGTATTTTTTGTGGAGAAGAAATAACTTTGAATAGACACACATTTTGTAATTTAAGTTTTAAAAATGTGTAGACAAGGGTCGTCGTTAATATTAATAATTTCTTTTACTATGATACAAAAATAAGTATCCAGCACGTTCTTTGAACAGGTATTAATTCAAAACGTGATCCAGATAAGTATCTTGGATGACAAAACGGAAACTTTCGTTGAAAATATTTTGTGTAAATAAACAACTAAAAGCGTCTTTTTCTGACATCAGATAAAGTTAAAGGCATGAAATTTCATATTGATGACAGGCAATTTTGTGCTGTTTACTGTTTGAACATAGCAATAATGGAGTGTAAACAAAGATAAGATATTAAAAAAACACGGTGTGTTGTTGCCGAGCTTATAGAAGCTAAATGGCAATTTACTACAAAAATGAGCGTATATTTTTGCATCAATTTTAATATTACATTCTTTTAATGTGCGTGTAAAACAAGTTTGTTGTTTAGTTACTTACTTGTAAGAAAAACAAAAAGCTTGATAATCAAGATTTGAGAGTGAATTGAAATCTTTAGATCAAAATAACAAATTACAAGAAGATAAAACGTTTTATGATAATAGATTTTATTAAATATCCGAAGTACTGGCTTACCTTAAAGGTTAATTCCTCCTCAAATTAAATAGGATTTAGGCAAACATTTAAGATTTAATGGTGGACATTTGGCTGTTAGTGGATTCCTTAAAAGTCGTTAAACAGGGCAACTCAGAACGTCGTTATAGTGATGAAAGTGGGAGGGACTAATGTTTAGATTTATGGGAGGTCAAGAATTCTCTCGGGTAAGTACTAAAGAATGACCCCCAAAACAGGAGGCGCACTTTAACGTGTAGCGCCTACCTAATAAAACTGCTCTATATTTATTTAGATGATCTTTAATTAGCTGTTGATGTTTTTCATTTGGGACAAGGTATCGGGTGTAAGACAAGAGTCTAATTAATTTTTAAATTTTGAGATTTGTCTCAACGGGTTAAGTTCTGAAGTGAGTAATCCCATCACACTATATTGTGTGAAAACGATATTCACGGATCGGATGCTATCCTGAAATCGCCTGCATAAGGGACCAAGAGTTAAAGAATAGTTATTTGCAAACTGCAATCTTATACAAACACAAGAAAACTAACGTGAGCTGTGCGAGCGAAGCTAAGCAAACTTAGGTCTGAAATCTGCATTAAGTATCTTATTCAATTAAAAAACATATTTTGTCCGGCAGTTCCAAGCGTAAAACAACAGAGATATTGAGTGGATCTGTCTCACTCAGTAGAAAACTCAAGGGCCAGAGAAGGCGCTAACTAGAAAAACGCGTTAGTCCTCATTCCAAAAATTTCTTAGGCGATAACACCACGCTGTAAAACTTTTAAACAGCGTGGTGTTTTACAGTAAAAGGCACTTAGAGCGAGACGGCTAGACCATCAAATCATGAGATGCAACGCTTTTAAAAATATTAATATGTATTAGAACGATTATAAAGGTTTACCTTTTTGACCACCAGTTCCAAGCGGCGCTGTTGCAGCGGTGGCTGCTGCCGCACTTCATGTGCCCCTTCTGCCCCTTCGTGCAGGCGCTCAGCGTCAACGTCAGCGTGTTCACGCTCACCGCCATCGCCGTCGACCGACATCGCGCCATTATTACGCCTTTGAGGTAAGTCACTGACCTCTATACACACTGGACAGGCTGTCTCATACAAATGACAGCTAATTTTGTGTGCCAATTTGAAGCACCACCAGGCCTGTTCATCTCCGCGAGTTTACATCGAAAACAAAACAAGCATGGCACCCTACAGGATTACTATTCGACAAGGCCTCACATACCTACGAGCGAACATTATAATAATATGGAGAACCATAGGAGTAGAAAGCGAGAAAGTAAATCACTAATTTTAGTTCCATGGACACTTGTATTTGCCTACTACAGCGCCAAAATGACGAAAATCAAATAGGCACAAAAATATTATAACAGCAGCCAGTCTAGTGTGTATAGAGGTTAGTGAGGTAAGATGTTTTCACGTTCACTGAAAAAAAGGTTCTGCTTGTGAAGTTACGAATACAATGGGGGCATTTGCCAGAAAATAGCGCTATCTAGCGCTAGTAAGAAAAATAGCGTCCTTTTAGCGGTAAGTGTTGTCACTATCAAAAAATGCAAACGTGTTCTCGCCGAAAACATGCTAAAGTTTCGGCGGTTGCCATAGCACCGCACAATTGTAACAAGTAGATACCATTTTCTGGCAAACACAGCCAATTTTAAGGGAGCACGTCTGGCCGTTTCTCTTAAACAAATAATGCTACACACGATCTCACTATCTTGTATTTTCGTTAGAAAATACATTACCAATATTTAGCGTCTATTATAATTACTATAGGCTTTAATTTAGAACTTTATTTCCCTCGTTTTGGCAGAGCTATCATGTTTACGTTGAGGCGTTTTATATTATTCATTTATTTATATTGTGTCCATCAATCGTTCTTTGTATTCCGTCATCCGTCATACGTCCTGGGTGTCCTGACACGTCGTTACCCTCTTAACAGTACCTATATAATATGTGTGTGTACGTACATAGCTTAATATTATACCGCTTCCTTCGATCGAACTCTACAAATAGCCGTGACTCCGTGAACCACGCTTAGCTAAAGAGAAGGGGCTTGTAATATGGACAGCCTTCATAATATCATGTGTATTGATTAAAACAACTGTCAAAGTCGAGTAAACATGACTGACGAAGCATTTCATATTTATAAAGGGGCCGCAGCGCCCATCAAACTTATAGCTTTACTTAGGAACATATAAATAATGACGAAGAGTCGGAAGGAATAAGCTTGATGATGATGATTAGTAGGGAAAAGCGAAAACTTTGAACGACTCCCATTATAAGTGCTGTTACTTTAATGATCGTAGTTGCCCCATTAAATTTTCCCAAAACACCCTATATACTAATGCAGCCAGTAACAATTAAACAGATACCGATGTAATAAGTTAATCAAAAGCGTATAAATATTTGCGAGATCGGTAAACATGGAGGAATTTTCAATTTTCCATCCATTACGCAATACATTATCTACATGACTAACATATTGGCTGCAAAAAGGAGATGCAGTACCTCTTGAATTTCAAATAAAACATAGACGTTGGATGAGCGCCAAATCGGATACGGCTAGGGCTATAAATCAAGCTAGGTTTTTGCTTTGCAAATTGATTAAAAAAATTACCTAGGCGGGTTTTACGTTGTGAAGGTAAATACAGACTTCTAGATACACATAGGTATTAACTTTAGCAAACATATTTGCGCATTATTGTATTATTAACAATGACGTGTAAGTCTTTTGAATAGCTTTTGTGACCTAAAAGTTTCTTATAAATAAGAATAATGATGATTTTATGGCATATAGTCAGTTATTCATTCATCTGTGTTATTGGTAGATTGTGGAATGAAATCCTATTACTATTATTTACCTCGTGACAAGCCAATAAGTAAATAAATTATGACATTGGTAATAGTAATGAATTAAATTATCTTTAGGGCACTTCCTTAGATTAATAAAGCCTAGATAGATAGTCAATGCACGAAAGGTGAGGCAGTTTTTAGGGAGCAGCACGGATTACCCGTAAACGTCACATGAACTGTCAAAGTGAAAAATTGGTAAACACGTCCGACGAATTTTAATTGATTATAATGGTTTGTGCTGTGAAAGGGTGTCTAAAATGGTAGCGCATTTTCTTACATAACTTTTCAATTCCTATCATTGGAGGTCCGAAAATATTTCTCATACAATTTGATACCATAATGATCATTCTTCATAAAAAATTTAAAACCTACATATTTAAAAACATAATCATTGATATTCATAATATCACTAATCATACACTTAGTTTTTACTGATATTTGTTTNAATATTACAATTTTTCATTAAAGAAGAATAACAGTGCTGTTGGGACAATAAACCTTAATTGCGACGATGATCGACCGAGCGTGTATAGAAATACGCGTAAGCAAACAGGCGCGTGGCGGCCCGGACTGATTTGCAACTTGAAGTTGTCGCGCGCTGTAGGTAATTATCTCGGCCGGCATAGGCGAGTGACGGAGGCCTGGTAGTAGTCTGTAGTTGGCTACCTTAATAAACTCCGACAAACATTACTTCGACATTACGTTACTCCGACACTACTGAATATCGACATGACTTTACTTCGACACTACACTACTCAGACAAAGGATATTATCCTTTATTAATAAAAATCATGTTTTATTGTGTAACTAACCTTAAACCTTTAAGTAGTCACTAAAGTTATTCAAATTGGTATCACTTTTACATAAAATAACTCCGTAAAAATCCCAATATTGAGGATCATCAATTAGTTTATATTCAATATTAATAAATATTCAATGCTGTCTGAATATAAAATCAGTCTCTATAATTGACTTATGTAAAAATTTCCTTTTACAGGAAAAATATTTTATTCATAACTAAATTCCAGCAGGTACATTTATTTATCTACAAAGCCTTAAAAAGCTCAGATATTCTTCCTAATCACTTCCTACCGACAACTCCTCAATTTAACAACCCGATAAATCCCGCCTGATTACCGGCCTTTTCATAACGGCACGATCTCCATTTTATTTATTGCCATCCCAAGCCTTTTTAATCGGTGAAGCGTACAACTTAACTGCGGACCCGGCTGCTACAGAATTCAATTTAAAAATTCTATTTGCTGCGAAGAGGGTCTGATCAAACAGCTAGGTTGAAGTTTAACGACTTGTGGAACGTTTTCCTTGAAATTGTAGAAGTTTCTCTATAATGAATTAAAAGAAAACTAGTATTTTATGCAATGGGTTGTCCATTCCAGCTTGTCACAGAAATATCGTTATAAACTAGGTATAAGCCTAAAATCCGTTCAGTAGATTTTGCATGAAACTTTCACATTTATATAAACTTCAAGTTCAGTTTGTGGCTCTACCTATATTAAATCATCCAGAAAGATTGGAATCACAAAAGCTTTAAAAAAGGCCTCTTTACAATTTTAAATTAAGATAGACCTAATTGCCAATGAAAGGCTTAAAAAGTCGTTAATGCGTGAAACCCTGCGAAAATTGTTGGAAGTTTCAAGTAATAAATTATAGTGACAATCTAAAGCTTCGCTGAAAAGAGCGGTAGCATATTCAGCCCCTGAAATATTTGGTGAAAATGGACGGTGTTAATTTATGTTAATTAAGAAATTATACGATGCTAGTGCTATTCACTGTTCCAGACTACTTATTTAGTTAAAGTTTTGTAAATTCGTCCGTGCTCAATGAGATAAACTAAACTGTAAATATAAATGTATAAATTATAACATTTAATTAGACTATTACTTATTTAGTTGTATTATAAGCAGAAAATCAAATTATCCAAAGAAAGCGATAGCTTAAAGACTCTTACTCAAGTTAGAGAGAAAACAGTAAGTTTTTCTCGTAAGTAGGTAAATGATTTAATTTAATTCAAAATGTCTTTCATCCTACTTGGATGGGACTAAAATCAAACCAATTTAGAGCTGTAACAACAAATGTTTAATTAATTAGTTTAACAAGATCTTAATTTTCTAAAAATACCCATTATACGAGCGTATTTTATTTACCTTCTTGTACAGGCGACAGGACTTCGTGAATTATTCTATTCTATGGTATCTTAAATGGTTGTGATAAGTCTTATTTTGCAAGAAATTATAGTCGAATGGACTGGTGATTGTATTTAGGGGAAACCTTTCCTGTCCCTTCATTGGATTAGGATCTTGGATACGGAAGGAAAATTACATTACATAATACAGACCGTATTGCACTCTACATTGAACTGAAAATTGCTTGATTATGTTCTAAAGACGCTTGATATAATGTACTTTTATGGACGGTTATTTCATGTTATCTACCTATATTTGGAAAATAAACTCCTTTAACTTTTATTTCTCAATTTTGTACCTTACTTCCCAAAGTAATTGGACTGATAGAGTCATTTGTTTTTAAGTACGAGTCGATAGATCTTTCTTATCTTCCGATAACAGATAACGAAAGAAGTCACATGCAAAAGCTTTATTTTATATTACTCTTGCCTAGAGCTTTAACCTTGTTAGAATCTAATTATTTATCGAAAATAAAAGAATTTGGCAGAAAGCTTACATTTTAATACATTACCAACATACCGAAACAAATCAATTTGTTCTATTTTAAGAGATAGTACAATAAAAACAACGCATCAGATGATTCATCACAGTTTTCCATAAATAAATCGCACACGAAAATTCAGTAGAAAATCCTTCAATATTCAGCACACTAATATGTCAAAGGCTGAATGGAATATAAGGGTGGCCTTCAATTTCACGCTGAAGCGAGTTCCAATAGAAAGTGTGAATCACTATCGAGAAGGCACGCGAGTTACAAAGAACCAATCGATAAATACTCGATGCTAAAAGTTCATAGAAGTAAAGTCGCAAGCACAAGCATCA